AAAAAAAAAAATAAATAAATAAAAAATAAATTATTGGGTATTCCATTTCCTAGTTCCAATACTCCACATCCCTAAATTAGTAAAGATTATATACTCCATAATTTGGCTAGTAATCTTTTAAGGTCTGGAATTATTTTCCTTTTATTGCCTTTCTATTAACATTTTACACCCATCTACATCAATCCAGAAATTTAGTATCTTGCACAAATGTAATGGGCTCTGTATCTTTTTCTTGTGACTGAGTGAGTCACTTCTCTATAAAAATCTCACTAAGGATTTCCCTATATAAACTTTAGTTATAATTACAATGATGTATTTTAAATTCAAACCTGAGACTAATGAGACTCATTCAGAATAAGCTGTTTATACAAGGCTGGTTAGTCGAAAGGAAAATAATTTTTCATAAAACAAAATACTGTTTCGTCATCAACAAAATATACAATCCAACTAAACTTTTTTTCATGATGCCCATACAACAGGATATTTTTATCACCAGCTTTTCATTTTCATAAGACAAACCTCGTGGTAGCCCTAGGAAAGAGAAAACATGAGATTTACAAGACTACCAACATTATAAGAGCTTATTTAAAGGCATTAAATAAAAGTACTGTCCTCTAATTGTCTTATCTCAGAAGCCAGATCCGTATTTTATTTTTTTCAACAGAAATTCAGGTTCGGGATAGGATCATCATAGGTAAGACCAAGGACACATTATCTATTACTTCACAAAAAATAAAAGACTTGACTCACAGAAATTGTTGCTCCTTTAAACTTCAGAGAGGGCCTCCTCTGACAAGTAGTGATCCCCACTGTTGGTAGAAAATTAACAAAAAAACCCTCCTAGTCATGTGAACTCTTAAAAAGTTTGCTAGCTTTGACAAAAGGGCAGTGGCACTTTCCCTAATTATGTGTGTGACATCACCCGTTATGGTGCCTGCTTTTGTCCTTTAAAGTTTCAGGTATAACAGGTGTCACAACGAAAAAGTATTCACTAAAATTCTGTATATGCCATCTCCTTGAATCTTGTTAGGTGCTTGTGTCTAGCTTATCTGATTGATCCAAGCCCCTGCAATTTGCCTCAAACCATGGCAATGTCAACATACTCAAATACTTTAGTATCAAATGACCCTTTTCCTCCCTTCCTAAATTTCTGTAAACATTAAGGTCTCTGGAGTCTTCAACCTGGTCTTAGGAATATCACTGGTGGTTCTTTAAAATTCATGTATTAGCTTGAGACATACCTCAAAGCAATAAAAGCGGGCCCGTTATTCAGTTTAACTTTGTGAAGCAATTCCAAAGTTTTTTCCTCTGAGCTATATTTTACCTTGTATATTTTTAGTTCACTGTGGAACCTCCAGTGCCAACTTTAAAATTTTCTTTTGCTATAGGGTGTGTGTGCTTGCCAGAAAGAAAAAGCAAGAAATCACCCCCTGCAGGGTGGATGACCACGCTGCAATCCCTTTTCCATTCTCTCAGGATCTTGTGCACGCATGCACACGTACCTGGCATCCGCTTAAGCTACCAGGTCCAGGACTCAAACCAGTTGACTAGTACCAATGTTCTTAAGATATAAGTATTTTCCTGTGTGATGGTTATTACTCTGTAATATGGCTCCATGAAACATTTCCAAGAACTCAGATTTTAGCCTTATACTGGGCATTCACTGTACTAGGCACAGTAAATGGTGTGCTCAAAAACTCTGTCTCAAGAGATTCTCCTGCATTATAAGCCCATATTTACTGCACTAAAGGTCCCATGGGCCAAAGTCAAAATTCCACTAAAAAATTTTGGGAACCAGCAGTTAGTGTAATGGCTATGTCACTGGACTCTCAAAGAAAAAAAAATCCATTAAAATTTTAAAGGTGGGAACCAGCAGTTAGCATAATGGCTATGTCGCTGGACTCCCCTGTAGTCGACC